GTATGATAATCTTGCTACCTGATCCAGCTCATAAGATCTGAGAAAAGTTGTGCAGGATGAATTCAGCGAAAACAGACCCCTCTAAGACCGTGCGTCCTAAAGGGATGTTCGGCGTTTGAAGAGATTGAAGCTAGCATCAGATATGATGAAATAAGCGCAACTATTGGCATGCTTTAACCGAAGATGTTTGCTCAAGACAACGCAATTCCTCTGTTTAATAAACATGCTCCTCAATACGTCACTGTTCGATTACGTCATCGTACCTTGCACAACATTGATTGAGAGCCATTGTGCGGCCGTTATATCTGGAAATCGTGCTCACGAACACCAGATATGAGCAACTGAACAATATTATTTTCTAGGCCTTGGTCGCTACATCGCTAGAATGCTGCGGCAGGATTTCGATGACGTTATTATGGCGTTACGGATGCCTGGATGATCTTGAAATAGTCTGGACATCCTCAAGGGCGCGTAGTTCAGAAACTGGAAAAGCTTAGGTCTTACGAAGGGCAAGACTGTGAACTGCACCGAGCGATCTTCAAGATGGCTAGTCCAGTTCAAAACCCTACACAAATGTAGAACATTCCCTTTAAATCCAAACATTCCACTCCCTATTAGGACTCACTGACGCCTGACAGCGGTGGAGTTAAGTGGCGAAAACTTTGCGTAAATACTGATACACCAGACGGGGGTTGTGATCCGAATTACATTCAAATTCATCGTGGTGAGGAAAAAGCTGCGCTGCATCCTAACGAGGGGGGGGGGACGAAAGTCCCATGCGTGGCTTTGGCCGCTCACAGAAAAGCTTATTGGAGAACAATGCATAAATCGTCAACATGCCATAGCGGCACAGAAGTGAATCCGAATGCGCTGCATGATCTTCAAGATGGCAATTTCGGTCCAAAGCCCTTCACAAATGTGGATTACCCCCTTTAATACTGCACGGTACACCACTGATTTCAGTCTCAAATTCCAATAAAATACAATAGGCTGCAAAATTTACTATATTTAGGTAAACATGCACTCGTCAGTGAGTTTGGGCAACCGAAGCACGGATGGGGGATTGATTATCGTCATTGTGCCGGAGAAACACGAAAGGGCTCACCTGTTGACGACATACAGGGCATTTCATTGGATTAAGCGGACTGCCATGGCCATAGTACGCGAAAAAGCAGTCGGCACAGAACAGGTGTGCACAGTTTGTTTCCACAACATGGCTAAGTCCGGCCAGACATATCGGGCAGGCTGAATCAGCGCTGTTGGCACTGGGCCACCGCCGTTGGCTGTCGGCGGACACGATTCTGTTGTTCCCTGCAAAAAGATATGAGATAAATCATCATCATCACCGTTATATACGTGCATGTCATTCGCCAAGCGGTCTTTCAAGTTAAGTATAACGTTACATGGGTACATCGCAGATCCACGGGTAAAGAACAAAACATCATAGCTTTGGCGACAATGTACCGATACTTAATTCGAAATAGGTAATGCAGAAATATGCAGCGCCATAGTCTGAGCCACAAAAAAACATTACAGAATTAGAAGCATATTACATGAACAGCACACCACATATTTAAGCGATAATGGGGTATGCCAGCCAGGAGACAATTTCTCCGGCACACCTCTGCATTCTACATCATCCGCTTACGTATCCGCACACAATCAGTTTTATCACAGACATGAACAAAGCGGCAAACATTTTTGTGGCTATCAATTAAAAAGTGTTCTCAGACGTAAGCAATCCAACCACTGGGCATAACCAGTAAGCACTTACCAATGTCTTAAATTCCCAATGTGTAGTTATATGGCTTTGCAATAAAAACACTCGTTTCCATTTAAACCATGCTGAGCTTATCAGCACATAATTTCAATACCAGCTGACAATTTTGAAGTTATTGTGAGCGGCATAGATATAAAACTAGTCAGAACCAGCCATACCACTTGAACGAATCAGTATAAACTATTAAACTCACAAGATAGCACACGGGATTAACTAGAAGCTTAGTTTGCTGCCTGATGCAAGCAGTCTGAATTAATTTGGTTCGCATGAAATTGAATCAAGGACTAGCCTGTTCCTTTATGACAATCTGGTACCAGAACCTACTCAAAGTTTGGCTATTTAAGGGGATGTTCCACATTCGAAGATATTGAAGAAAGCATCAGATGTTATGAAATAAGCCCACAGGTGACTACTAGTGTACTTTTGAATTGAAAGGACAGCTCTAGACAACACAATTTCTCTGTTTGGTAGATATCCTCATCGCCATTGCTTGATTACGTCATCGCACCATACACCACATCAACAGGCCAATTATTGAGAGCCAATTGACAGTCGTTGCATCTGGAAATCGTGCCGCAGAACGCCAGTTACAAACGACTCGACAATGATATTTTTTACCTTACTCGCCACATGGCTAATGGAAGGGCGAGATCTAAATAACGTTTTAAGGTGTTATGGGTGCCTGAGTGACCTTGAAATGGTCTCCCCGAAAGTTTACACGTCCTTCCGAGCGTGTAGTTCGGAGACTGGACATGCTTATGTCTTAAGAAGGACGGAGCTGTTAACTGCATCGAATGATCTTCAAGATAGCCGTTTTAGTTTATAACCCCATACCAATGTGGAACAATCCTTTAAGTGCTCTATAACATGCATTTATTGGTGGTTCATACGGTGCCAAGAGGCTCATGACCGAGAAGAGATGTAGCAATTATTGTGGGTCTACTTTTTCATGTAGCTCCTTATTCATAACGCGCAGCCTTGTAATAAATGCGGGATGCATTATACTAGCCCAGTGAAGCCGTTTGGAGTTAAAGCAAATTACAACTTGTCTGCTTGTTGCATAGTAACTTACGTGGCATGGCATCTGATGACGGTTGTACACATTTGTATTTGTTCAGTCACTTTCATAGCGGTCCACACCACGGGCGTCAGGGATATTATTAAGCAAGGAAGGCCATTGCTGTTCCTGGCTTGCACTACACCCATAAATACATCTATCGAAGATTTAGTCGCACTTGACTGTTTCAGTGCCAAATCCAGCCCTGGGTCACATTTAAATCTAACTAATCACCGTGTGCTGGTAATCATCGCTTTTTTTTGGGGGGAGAATGCATTTTTCAATTATCATAGCCGGTGCAAGAGCAACGTAACCAGGTTTTGGTTGTGGAGCTTTCATCAAGTTTGGCAGACCCGCGTCCTGTTTATGCTGCTTGAGTAATGCAACCATATTCCTACCATTCAAAGTTTTTCGGCCTATAGGTAAAAACCTTCCTAAATAGCAAGTACTATTAACAATTACAAATATGGCACGTATGCGTCAAAAATGCACCTCAGAGATGAACAATGTATGTGTATATTGACGTCGATCAACACTGCTGTTGTAGCCACAGTTATTAGCTGCGGAGTTAATGCAGGTGAAGTTGAGGTCTTGTGCTCCGGACGCGCACAGCCTAGAATACTTCACCTTTACGTTTCATTCGTGCTAATACTGTTATGTGTAAGGGTGCGGGCTAAATGCTGCTTAACAAGTTTTGTTATTTGTAACTTCTCACTTTAATTGGACGTGCCTTTTTGAATTCAGGCTCAACCACCTGAAATCGGCTGTACAGCCAGCTGCTATGTTGCTTCTGAAGGGTATTGACTATATCATATGCTGCATACTGCACTTGTTGCATGTCTAGGAATGCTGCATATCTTGCATTTAACTGATTTTTTTCATTTTTTGGCCAAACATGCAAGTTGAAACTTGCAAATTCATTGTGGTATGAGCATGTCTGATCTTTTCAGGCATTGGGTGAAGGTCTAACATTGGATGTGGACAGAATTATGCTCCTGCAAGTTATTGCAGAAGAGGGTCATGTGGCAAGATTCTTTGAAGACACAAATTTAAGGTAATGTCAATATTAATGGTCTGAGTCAAGTAGGGTTTGTCAAGTGCAATTAGTTGTGATGGGATTAGATGTTAAACATTTCTCTTTGACCTAGACCTATCCAGAGTGCTGGGACATATTAATAGAATGTCTTATAGCATTTTAACTTTATCTATAAGCATGCAACTAATTGTTATCTGATAAAATGTTACTGCAATAATAACACCACCAGGTGGTGGCTGTATTGCACTGCACTGTGCTTGCATTGGGGCAAAACAATTGAAAATTATCATGTTTCAAAGCTGAGACTCCAAACAAAAAGAGATGCCCTGTTTGGGACAAGACAGTATGATGCAAATTTCTAAATATTAGACTATGAACAATATTTTGGTCAGCCACCCTCTTGGCTAGTAGCAGTTTTAGGACTTCCATGCTCTAATTCCATCATATTTGCTCATCTATTTCCTCGGCATGATGTCAGGGGACAGAGCCCATCACAGCATGCTAATTTTAGTTTCCTTGAATATTATCTCTCCAAAATGTGGTCTGTTGGCTGCATCCAGCTTAAATGATGGAATATTGTTGCTTTTACCTTTCTCTGCCTCTAGAAGTATTGATTGTAAGGCTGCTTTCCTAAAGTTACACTACTCACATTTGGCACATGTAGGGTTCATGTCACAAAACTATGCAGACTTGTCATTTCATAAGGAAACAACTTGTGATGACAAGAAAGTTACTAACTAAATCAGAAAGGGATCTGATCATTACATTAATATTTAAGTCAACATGTTGCTTTGACCAGCCAAGTGCCCTTACTACTGGCTTGGGTGAATGTGAACAAGCTACACTGAGTGATTGCCATCAGTTAATGTATGATGATTAAAATGCATTTGAAATGACCCATGTACTCCAAGAAGATAATGAGTTTAGGTGATGTTGGTTATGTATGTTTTGCTGCTTATTGCTTCATCATATGCTGCAAATTTCAGTAGTGTGACAGCAGTAACCTGCTTTACTTCAATGTGTGTTCAAAGCTGGGTGCATGAGCCATCAGTTGATGTACTCCACCCATAATCTGTACCATTTCAGACGCAAGCTCAGTGCTCTTCAGTCTACACCCCAGCTCAAAGATGGACGCTTTGGCAAAGTCTCAACGTGAGAGCGGGAACAAAAGCTTCCGCGCCGGCCGCTTCTGCGAGGCGCTGCGTCCGGTACGGGGGAGTGTGTGATGGGAGCTGCCAGTGCGGAGACGCTGAGCTGCGGCTTTGCAAACAGATCGGCCTGCGCTCTTCCACCTGGAGCAGTTTGAGGTATGGCCTGTCTGTGTGATAATAGTTTGTTGGGACAAAATCACTTTCGAGTTTTTCGGTGTGATAATATGGGATTCATTGAAGTTTTGCGTTAGTGGATGCATTCAATTTTATGCTTTCGTTTTTTTTTTACTCGCCGGCCTGTGACTGCAATAGTTTTTCTTATTTTCAACGCCAGGAAATGGCCCATAACGTTGTTAAAGTAAAGGTGGCTGGGCCCACTGGGATAATCATCTAAGGGGCGACTTTTTGACTCATAAGCTCAAAGCCCATCTAGACATTACTCTATTTCAGGACAGCCTGTGTGACATGGAGAGCGCGTTAGCGGCCGGCTACGCGTCTGAGCGGCACCACAAGCTGCACGTGCGCCGCGCGCGCTGCCGCCTGGCTCTGGGCCGGCCTGACAGCGCCCGCTCGGCGCTGGTGCAGTACAGGGCAGCCGTCCACGATCTGCACCTGGGAGACATGGTGAGAGGTCAGTGACCTCGCCCTGGTCAGTGCCACGGACGACCGTAGACGGTCTGTACCTGGGAGACACAGCTGGAGGGCGGTGACCCCTCCCCAGTCAGAACAGGGTGGCTGCGGATGATCCGGGGTTCAGAGGCGCTGCCAGAGAGGTGTGCTCAAATAAGCCGCCAGTCGGAGGTGCCTTATGCAAGACGATTTCGTATGGGTTTTGGGACATGGCTGGCGCGGCCTTCGGCTCTTAGCTAGAGCTCAGTATTCTGACTCACGGGATTCGGATAAATTAAAATCTTTTCAATCCTCGAATCCCAAAACCAGGATTAGAACGCTAAGAATCAGGATTCCAGTCCTAAAAACTGCGCGGAGTTCTGATAGCCATCGTTTACATATGAAATTGCACGCTCGAAGTAAGATGCGATTTCACTTAAGATCAAGCAAATGCAACATGTATGTTTTTGCCCTGTTTCGAACTTGCTCGCCGTTCCCATTTTAGTATTGCTGATTGATAATCGGTCGGGCAATCATTCTTGTGTGGTGTATTGACATGTACGCAGCGTTGATCTTTTGTGGTGGTACATGCTCTCGTTATTACAATGCATTAGGTTATGCGTCCTGTGCATTGGTTTAGACCTGTCCAAATGCCGCCAGGGAAGATACTGAGCGAGGCGGACGCCTTGGAGGCGGCCATCTGCCGGACGGCGGCCGCCGAGCCGCATCCCGAGGGCCCGGACGAGCCGCCCGGCCGGCCGGCGGTGGCCGCCAACGCGTCGCTGTCGGGCGCCGATGACTGCGTCGAGCTGAGGTGTGCTGGGACCGTCCCCGTCAGACTGTGTGGGACGTGTGGACCGTCCCCGTCAGACTGTGTGGGAGTCGGGGCCAGTCAGGTGGCGCTAGTGTGAGTCACAGTGAGATGCAACTGCGGTAAACTTTGGTTCTTGTCTGTTTTTGTTTGCCTGCGTCCAGGAGGCTGCGTACCAGTCTCAGTTTCAGGTGGGTAACAAAATACTGCAAAACCTAGCATATCAGAGCCTCTCCAGAAAGGCTTCATCACTACTCAGCTAGTACGCGGCGCAGACGACTGTTGAATGAGCGTCATCATGGGCTCTGTGATGCGTTTATTCAACCTTATCCTACCGTCATGCGTCAAGATGCCGTCAAGTGTCGATGTTTCGACGGAACTGGGAGAGTGCACTTCGCGGTTCACCAAGTAGCACATCGATTTGGACGTTGGCGCTTAAGTGGCATGGCTGCCCTTGACATTCGTCACCGTCGCTGCAGGCAGACCGAGAAGAAGGGCCGTCATATTGTGACGTCACGGATGGTTCCGAAGGGGTCCGTGCTGTTTGTGGAGGAGCCGTACATCTGTGTGTTATTGCCCACACGCCGTCTCGACCATTGCCACCACTGCATCAAGCAAACGCATGCCCTTGTACCGTGAGTATTCCGTCTGTCTTGTCTTGCTCACTTTTCGGGCTTAAATTCCATTTGCGCTCTAGCCATAGAGCAATGGGACACCTACTTGAGCTCGCGTCATGCCCGACTGGAGCCCCCTCCAGTCGGAGGTCATGAGTGGTTTGGTGCATATCGTTTTTGAGTATTTCTGCTCGGGCTGGTGGTTGCCGTGTCCTGGAAGCCTTTGTGCCCGACATGGCTGTACGGCGGTCGCGAACTCTGCGCCCTGGCCGCAGGTGTTCCCGCTGTCGGGACGTGGGCTTCTGCAGCGCCGCCTGCCGGAGCGCCGCTGACGCCATCTACCACGCGGCCGAGTGCGGACACGCCATCTTCCTGGAGGCGTTCGGCATCGGGCGGGGCGGCGGTGCGCATGGCGCTGACGGCCGGCTGGCGCCGCCTGGCGCGGCTGCGGCGCCAGCTGCGCCAGGCGCCAGCCGCCGCGGAGCCGCCCGTCCGCGCTGCGAACGGCCGCCTCTCGGGCGACGGGCCCGAGCCGCCCCTCGAGGGCTGCCGTGGGGGCGGTAACACTGAGTGAGGACGGGGCGGGCAGCGTGCAGGGACGTGTGACGGTGATGCGCTGCGGCTGCTCCCGACCGGACGGCGATCGGTACCTGGCGGTGTTTCACCTGATGCACCACCTGCGGGAGTGCGACGAAGAGAGCGCCTACCACTACTCGCGGGTAGGTACAGGGAGGGATCTGTGGCCGTTTTCGGGTATGCTTGTTGGTCCGTATCATATCTGGATGAGCAATTTGACCACGCAGTGCTCGCAGTACCTGGATTATTAAAGCAGATGAACGAAAGTGTATCGTTCCCAAATGTGTGTTGCTGGTGAGCGAGCAATCACAGTTGTCTCTTACTTCCTCCCCGCCTCAGTTTTGTCAGTTTCTTAATTTCGTACCCCCTTAGCCATACAAATGACTCTAAAAAGTCTTATTCTTCCTCGCTGTAATCCGAACTCCTCGCAGGCAGCCGCCACTCTGGCGGCATTCTTGGCCGAGAAGACGGCGTTTTTCGGGCGAAGATAGTCCGCCATCACAGCTCGACATGTGTTGGACTGCCGCCATCCTGCTGCGCCACGTTCTCCAGCTGGTGTGTAACGCGCATGCGCCGACCAAGCTGATCCCGGTGCCGACCGAAGGCAGCGTGGCGCAGCTGAGCGAGGAAGCGCATCGCCACGGCCATCTATCCGTCCGCCAGCTACATGAACCACGCCTGTGATCCGTCCATTATAAACAGGTGGGTGGGCGGGGCGTGCTGAGGTGCTCTGCGTTTGTGCTCGAGCCACAACGTGGTTATGCTGTTAGCATGGGGGGAAAGAAGCATTTCAGCTTGTTGGCACTTCTAGTTGACGCAATTGTGGCGTGAAGAAAAGACGCGTGCAGAAATCAGGTGAAGTTAAGACAGATGGATATTAAATTTTTACCATGCATTTCTGTCGGTGTTTCTCCAAGTACTTCGTGCACCATCCGCACTGGTGCCTTGTTGTTGATTGGGAGTTTTAGGGCGCGCCCACTACTGTAGTCGTTTTGCGCCCAACAACATGCGCATTGATGCCTTGCTGCATGGCCTCGTGAGCATATCTGTTTCATGCTGCCCGTAACGTTTGTTGTTCTTATTTGCCTCATGCGCCATGTAAAAGTACATTCGCCGCCCCGACCACTTTGCCCTGTGACCGGTTGCCGTCGTCCCCGCCGGCAAAACGGAGGTGAACGGGAAATGTGCGTGTTGTGTGGACCACAGATACTCCTGTATACATATACAGATACAGATACAGATCTCCGTACTCCTGGCGCGCTGACGCTGAGTAATTTCATGCTGCCCTTGCTTGATGACGTCATCTCAGGATGGTCACTGGATGTCTCGACTGCGCAGTTTCTGGGAGCGCACCCTGATCGTACGGAACGTGAAGCCACTGCGGGCCGGCGAAGAAGTGTTCCATTGCTACGGTACGTAACACGCGGTCTGCTGAATTTTGAGCGGACTCGGCTGCAGATTGCTTATTCCTCTGCTCGTTACTCGTTGAATCCGCTCTGTAAGTCACTTGTTCAGTCAATGCATTTAGATGGCTTTGTGCATTAACAGTGGTGAACATCGTGGTATTCGTTTTGCACAATATGCATTGTATTTTCAAGGGACCTGTTCAAAGGGATGTGGTATACCAAAGAAGCTTTCTAAGATTATTTGTCCTGGAGTGGGCAGAACATAATGATTTCGAAATGTGTTTTCCAATTCAAGTGGAATCCCGCACATCGCTAGTTATTATGGCCACTCGTGTTCAGCGCCGTAACGCTATGGACTACAACGCCGCCGTGATGGGAGCATCGCCACGCGGCTTTTTCCAATGAGGATGATCGTACTATGAAAGGTTTACCAAACAATTGAGGTAAAAAAAAAAATGTTTGGCATAAAGAAAGTGCCTGTAAATCAAGGGAATGTGCCGCAAGTATTTATATCTTGATCTAAAAAATGTCCTATTGGATAACGCAGTCCTTTTTTAAACAGCATACTCTCAGTGTTGCGATCTAGCTCACCTTACTAACTCAAAGCATGCGTGTCTGCTCCGCCGATTCTGTGTTGTGAGGCTGAGCGTGACGCACTGGCGGCAGCTGTCACGTGGCCTCGTGACGCGTCACGTCACCCCGCGTACCCACTTAACATCTCCCGCCAGCCGGCGACTCCCCGACCGGGACGTGACGTGACGCCCGTGATGACGTGACGCCCGTGACGCCGTTCCGCAGGGCCGCACCACGCCCGCGCTCCGCCAGACGTCCGGCGCCGGGAGCTGCAGGAGCAGTACCACTTCACCTGCCCGTGCCGCCACTGCACGCGGCCAGAGCTGCGCAGACGGTTGGTGCGTCCGCGGCCGCCGCCTCGCTCGACCGGTCCGACTGACGGCCCGACGGTCGGGCTGACAGTCAGCTGACCCAGCTGTTGGTGCGACGTTTGTGCTGACAGGTGGTCAGACTGATATTGACTGATATTCCGACAGTTGGTCAGACTGATGTTCCGACTGTTGGTCGACGGATATTCCGACAGCTAGGATAGACTGATATTGCGTCAGTTGCCCGGACTGATATTCCAACAGTTGGTCAGACTGATATTCTGACGTTGGTCAGGCTGATATTCTGACTTTGGTCAGACTGATATTCCAACAGTTGGTCAAACTGATGTGCCGACAGTCGGTCAGACTGATATTCCTACATTTGGTCAGGTCCGCGTCAGTTGCGTCAGTTGCCCGGACTGATATTCCAACAGTTGGTCAGACTGATATTCTGACGTTGATCAGGCTGATATTCTGACTTTGGTCAGACTGATATTCCAACAGTTGGTCAAACTGATATGCCGACAGTCGGTCAGACTGATATTCCTACATTTGGTCAGGCTGATGTTCCGACAGTTGGTCTTAAAGATATTCAGACAGTTGGCCAGGCTGATATTCCGACAGTTGGTCCGACAGCTGACCGTACAGACCGTTTGATGGCCGTCCGGTAGTCCGTCCCACAGTCCGCAGGGCAAGCGGTCTGACATTAAGTGCACATGACTGTTGGCCAATCATTTACATGGCCCTCCGTTTCCTCTCTTTTTCCCAATGAGCGAGACATTTGGCTCAGCACATTGGCCCTACCACGCTACCTAACTCGAACAATGCAGTTTGTCGTGCATTTCCCCCGCTTTCTGGAGATAGACCGCACGCCCATGTAAGTGCGGGCGGTCGCGTGAACATTATCGGCGGTACCGTGTGGGCGTTGAACAGTCCCCCAGCCACCCTGCGATGACTCGGCCCATACTTATTGCAAAAGATCCGTCAATTTTTGACTTGTAACAGTAATCTGTAGGCATGACCCGCCATCCATTTTGCTGTTGAACTTATCACGTGTACAAGATAGGTCTCCATTTTATGACGCGTGTCCAACGCCAAGTGATCTACCTGCCAGAACCTGAATTTTATCCCTGCTGGTAGCATCCTCGACGTTGAATACGGTATGCGTCGTCACCGCGCGACGCGGACAGCGCTGGCGCTGATGCGGTACAAATGACATTGGGGCCTTTGAAAATGTTACCATGAGAGGCTGACAAAGGATGCATCGTTTGTAGATTTCCCTCGTCCTTATCGATGTATATAAAGCTAAGCATATCGATGTACATAATGTATACATTGATTATCGATGTATATAAAGCTAAGTCGCAGTTATGTGGAAGTACCTTGAGGACGATTCGCTGGCATGGGACAGCTGGTCTGGTGGCCGCAGCGACCATTTAGGTGAACCACGAGGGAGGCATTTGTTATTTTGTTTGCCCCACGGATGCATCTGGCGCGTGACCGCGCACGGTAAGTTTCTGCGCGTCACGATGATGGCGGATCGGGAATGTCATGGTCATGTTGAACTGTACATACTTCTTGGTGCTTTTTGAGGCACACCGTCCAGTTGCATTCAGTTTATGAACAACCAGATAATAATATGAAAAAAACAAAAACAGGGTGAGTCAAAAGCAAGATAGATCTGCTTTTCATGGACTCGTACCGTGGACGCAGTGGTCATCAAAGCACGTTGCTTAGTTGGTTGGGCCACTTGCCTTCCATTCCACCAACCCGTGGCAGTAAGAGGCCAAACTCGTTTGAGTTGCTCGACATTTGCCCCCGCCTGGGAAGGCTTGCTGCCGGTGGTAGCGGCCGCGCTTAAGGTCAGGTGACGCCAGCTGACAGCATGCATCGCGTCAGGCTTTGCGGCACGTCAAGTTTTCGCCACAAATGCTGCCGGTGACCGGGAGTTTCAGGATCGGATTGGGGGGGGGGGGGGGGGGGGGTGATGGCTGACGCAACAAGCACTGCTGGCGTGGCCGCAGATCCCATAAAAAGGTACAACCAAAAGGTCAGACCGAATCATAACAAACGTGAAATTTACATGTTGTAAATGCTTACATCCGACGATGTGAGTAGCTGGGCCCTGCGATCATGCCTTTGTCCCCTGTTGTACGTCTGATCCAGTGGACTGACCTCCGACAGACAGCGGGGGCTGCGACAGACGTAAACCAGACGGCAGTCCTGCGATCATGCCCGTGTCCCCTGTTGTACGTCTGGTCCAGTGGACTGACCTCCGACCTCCTCGCTGCGCTGCCTGGGCTGTGATGACGTCGCTCTGCCACCGGCAGAAGAAGCTGAGCTCGCTGCGCTGTCTGGACCGTGGTGACGTCACTCTGCTGTCGGCAGGAGGAGCTGAGCTCGCTGCGCTGCCTGGAATGGTGGGGTCACTCTCTGCCGTCGGGCGGGAGGTCAGCCGCGTCTCTGCGTCAGCTGCGGCTACTCGGCCCACTATGGGGGGAGGCCCGGCTGCAGCAGATCCAGGCAGAGGCGCTCGACGGTAAGCACGGACGCGTGCCGTGAGATGTTGCCTGTGTGTGGACGTTCAGGCAGCACGGTGCTGGATGGAGGGTGGAATATCCTGGTTGAGATTAGTTGGCAAGAGTCAACCGTTAGTCATAGTCTCTGAGACAAAAGCTAATGAA